TTATATATATTATATAATATATTGTATATATTTATATATTATATATAAATATCTTTTTAATATATATTATAATATATAAAGTATATATTTATATATTATATATAAATATCTTTTTAATATATATTATAATATATAAAGTATATATATATATATTATATATAAATATCTTTTTAATATATATAATACATATATTTTAAATTTATATATAATATATATAAAAATCTTTTTAACATATTCCTATTAAAAAGTGCTCTGGTGCAAGTTTTCCTTTGTATCTGTGGATTGGGGATTTGTTGATCCAGAGGGTGATTCCACCATGGAATGCTGGCAGTCATTGGCTGGAGCCTTTTTTTGGGGCTGTTCAGCAGGAAAATCCTGCCTGGAAATCCCACCGGGAATATCAAACCCTGGGAAAAGAGGGAAGGAGGTGGGATGAAGCGATAAAAATGAAGGATTAGAGTTATCCAGCTAAATCATCCCAATGGAAAGGGAAGTTTCGATCATCTGGGAGGAGATTCCTGGAATTCTGCCTCTGCTGTCCATGAATTCAGTGGTCGATTCCCAACATGACTTTTCCTAGGAGAGGAATTCCTTCCAGTGGATCCGTTTGGAAAACTTTGGTGGCCAACAAAGTTGGAGATTCCTCCTTCAGCTCCCACTTGGCCAAATTAAACAGGATGGAAAAATTGCAGGATTTAGGAATTTTCCTGTGGAAACACAGGGATTTTCTCCTGGAAAATAAAACCTTACAAAAAGCAAACCAAACCCACCATTGTTCCTCTCATTCCCACTTTTTTTTGGGGGGGGGTGTGTGAAAAGAATCCTGGTGAGGCTTCGACTCAAAAATCAGGGATTCTTTCCTGATCCTTTCTTTGGGAAAGGACCCCGGGAAAAGGGAACGTCTCCCTTGGGAGCTGCAGCAGCACTGAGGGGGAGGTGGACTCTGGACACTGGTGGGAACTTTCTGCTGGACTTTTGAGCCTCAATCTGAGTGGGAATTTTAACTGGGAATTGGGGTGCGGGGGCAAAGCAAAAGGTGGTATTAGACTGTGGGATTGAGGGATAAAGGAGCAGGAAAAGGCAGTGGAAGAAGGAGTGGAAAATTGAGGAAAAGGCAGCGTGAGCTGAGGAGCAGCCTGGAAAAATCCAGTTGGAAGTTCAGTTTCTTGCATCCCAGCAGTGAGATTCCAGCAATGCTTCCCAGTTTTTTAGCACATGAGGAGAAGCTGGGTTTGGAAATGGATGAATCCTGGGAATTTGGGAATAGGTTTGAGGAGTGAAATAACAACGGGCTGGATTCCGGATTAAGGAATTAAGGATTTGCTTTGAGCTGGTGGGATTACAGGACCTTCCCACCAGTTTTCCCTGTTCTAACCTTCCCTTCTCCCTTTCCAGGTTGTTGACTGAGCTGGAATCTCCTTCCTGGTGGCCCTTCAGCAGCAAACTCTGGAAAACACCTCTGGAATCCAAGCCCAAGGAAGCGGCCGCAGCTTCCGAGCCCAAGAACCAGGAAGGAATCATCCTGAGAATTCCAGTCATTATCACCCACAGAACAGACTCCAGTGCCAAGCCAGGAAAACTCACCCTCTTTGCTTCTGGCCTGGAGATCAGTGACTGCAATTCCCAGGTGATCCACAGGTTTGAATCCCGGGATGTGGATGATATCCGGGTGCACACTCCCTACGAGATCAGCGTCCGCCAGAGGTTTATTGGGAAGCCTGACACGTCCTACAGGCTCCTGTCAGCCAAGATGCCAGAGCTCATTCCCGTCCTGGAGATGCAGTTCAGCAAGAAGATGCAGTTCCTGGAGGATGCCTTGGGATTTGTGGGAGCCAGGAAGTCTCCTCAGGTGGATTTGGGGACGTCCATCTGGCAGGCGGGTAAGTGGGACAGGGAATCCCTCTGGAATTCAGCAG